GCTGGGATCCTTCTAACTGTTACAGAATAAAAGAATTTGGATCGCTGGCTCACATTAAAGTGTTAGTAACTCAACTTCTCCTAAAGCAGCGCTTCAACAAAATGATCAGTCTTTCCCGGGGGAATTTCAGACAATGGGGCAGATGGAAGGACATTTCTTAGGACCTCGCGGGGAATGACCTCTGGTTCCCCCAAATACACATCTGAGGCCGCCCTCATGCTGCCCACTGCAAGGAGCCTCTCCCGCCCGCCTGTAGCTGGGCTGAGGTGCAGAGGCTCCCCGCCACATGGGTACTTTGGCCAGGCTTCCCTCAGGCTGGACAGAGCCCAGGCTGTGGATCCCAGCACTCAAGTGATGAGTGGCTTGGCCTGAGTCTCCCCATGAGCCTGGCCTAGACCTGCACCCCCAGTCTAGGATTCTTTCACCCCTCATCCTCTCCCCCTCTCCTCTCCCAGCCTCCTGCAGCTCCCACCCCTCTGCCTCAAAGCCCCTCCCCAACGCATCCCTCAGCACCTGACCCCGCATGGCTTCTGCAGGAAGGGACTCCACGGCCAGCAGCCCCAGCTCCTACAAACCCAGGCGCCAAGCCACTGTGTCCCCCAGGCCCCCAGCCCTCCTCTGGCCCCACCCAGCTGTGTGAGTCAGGGGGAGCCAAGGGTGGCAGCCCCAGGGGACCTCAGCCAGTGGGCAGATGAGCGGCCTTCGGGAGGAAGACAAAGCTGGGACCATTCTGTCCCTTCCTACAAGGCCAGAGCAGCAGCCTGCACCACGTGCCCTCCTGCTGGCTTCTCCAACCTGCTTCCCCAACCTGCTTCCCGTGCCCTCCTTCCTCCTGTTTCCCTGGGCCTCGTCCTGCTTTCAGCCCTTTCCTCTGGAAAGCCCAGGCCACGAGGGCTGGTGTGTGACTCGGAGAAAGACTCACATCATCAAACTCTCTCCGGAAACCCTGCTGAGGTCTGAGTGGATGCAGGCGCTCACACTGCTCTTAGCTAAGTGTCCTTCACCTCACACTGGTCATAAACAGGGCATAGCGCTTCCTGGCCTGGATGTAGCCAGCCCTGTGTGATCCCCTCCTCAGGGAGCCACCTCCTCAGACCGTGCCCTGGTGGAGTCCCCGCCCACACCGCAAAGAGTGGGACAAACAAGGGACAGTGACACCTCAGGAGCCTCCACACCAGCACATATCTGACCACAACTTCATGAGAAATCCTGAGCCCCAGTCACCCAGCTAAGCTGCTTCCAAATTCCAGACCCTCTGAAAGCAGAGATAATAAATGATTTTTTGTTGACATGGGGTCTTATTTTGCAGTCAAAGCTGGCCTTGAACTGACTATGTTGCCTAGGCTGGCTTCACACTCCCTGTGGTCCTCCTGCCTCAGCCTTCCAAGGCCTGGAATTTCAGGTGTGTGCCACCATGCCCAGCAATAAATAATAATTCTCATTGTAGACCACTAAGTGTTGGAGTAATTTGGTTTTTTGTTTGTTCGGGGTTTTTTTTTCAGTACCGGGGATCGAACTTGGGTCCTTGCACTTTCGAGGCAGGTGGCGAAACCACTGAGGTAAATCCCAGGCCCTGTTGGAGTAATTTGTTGCACAGCAATAAAAAAAGAAATAACCAAAAGAGAAACTCGAAATATTCTAAGTGTTTCACATGCGAAACACTCATGCCAAGCTATGACACAAGCACTACTTCATATCCCCACATTAGAAAGAGAGAAAACCAAGGCACGCAGAAGTTAAGTGCTCAGCAGTGGCTCTAGTTCACCAAGGGGGACAGGGATGGAAGGAGGTGCTGTCCCTCCACACTGTGCCCTCAGCGGCCCCACTGCCCCACTTCCATTGTGGGTGCTGCTTGAGGACAAAGCATTTGTATTTCTTAGCCTAGTCTGGGTGATACCATGTACCACGGTATTCTCTCTCCCCTTCTGGCAGCAAAGCACATGACTTTTGCAGATCGAGGCTCCAGGTCAGGCTGCAACTTCTGACTTGGAACAAACACTGCCTTCTTCCAGAAAACACGTCCCTAAGTTCATTAAACAGCACTGGGAAAAGCATCCTGCAATCAACCTTTGGTTCCTTGCCAAGCTGCTGAAGCCTGTCAGTCCTCCGAGTGTGCACTGCACTGCACCGCACTGCGCGGGATCTGGATGCTGCCTTGTACCTGTGAGCTCTTCCTCAGTCAGTGATCAGCTCTTTGAGTGAAAGTCCCAAATGCTCATCTCTCCTGCCCTCTGCCGCACCTTGCACATAATAGGCTCTCAAATGTGTGCTTATTCCCAGGCATGGTGGTTTGTGTCTGCAATTCCAGCTACTCAGGAGGCTGAGGCAGGAGGGCTGCAAATTTAAAGCCAGGCTGGGCAACATAGCGAGACCAGGTCTCAAAATTAAAAAAGAGGCAGGTGCTGTTCTTGGTTCTGAAGCCCACAAGGTAGGAGGACCTGGGGAACCTGGAGCTGCCCAGGGAAGGGCCCCAGAGAGGAAGGTGGGAAGAAGAAAAGAGACAGGAAAGTATGGGTGGGGACGCCCATCCCTAGGTAGACACAGCATTTGAAAAGACACCCCAGCAGGAGGAGTGGGCTCTTCTAACTGTACACTGGGGCCTCCCTTCCCAGAGGTTTCCATTGGAGGGTTAAAATGCAGCTAGCAAGACTTTAGTGGAGGCCGGCTCATGCCTGTAATCCCAGCACTAGGGAGGCTGAGGCAGGAGGATTGCTATGGGGGTGGTGGTAGAGGGGTGGAGTGGGTAAATAAATTTGGAAACCACTGAAAGGCAGTTCCCCTCTGAGATTTACAAAACACATGAGCATAAAAAAGATTCTGAGAAAACCCTCTAAGGAACCTTTTGTTAAAGTTCATTGACCAAACTCATTGAACCAGGATCCCCTGTAACTTCCCCCTATAATGCCTGTAACACCCCCTGCACAGGTCCTAGGAGCAGAGCTAGGCAGAATCACACGCTGTGCTCTGTACCAGTGGTTGCACTGGTTTACAACCACCACCCCATCATTTTTATCTGTCAGTTACATGTCAATAAAGCTGGGGTGGGGTGGGTACTGTGGGAGAGACGGAGGCAGGGCTGGTTTTCAGAAATTATCAGGTCATTTCAGGCACATAAAAGTTCCCTGCCTCTCACGGTGCCAGTGCTTCCTCTCGAACTTGTCCACAACTGGTCAGATTCTGTGACTGTGACAATAAGTAGGAAAGGGAAGCAGTGTCCACGCTGGGGTCCCATCCCCTGTCAGTCTTGCATCTGGAATCAGGGTCTCCACTTCCTTGGAAAGAATCAGCCCCATGGCGCTTGTGTCCCACACGCCCTTGTGTCAGGGTTTTTATAAACACATCGTCTCACCAGACGACGACTCAGCTGGGGATGCTCCCCTGCTCCCCAGCCAGGCAGCGCAGACAACAGTGGTGTCTGCATCCACAGAGCTACCATGAGGATCGAATGAGTCACTTTATGCACACACTTGGGACAGCGTCTGGCACTGCCGAGACAGAGCAAACGCTTTTCATTTATATATTTTGGGGCAGGAAGAACTTCAGGGACTCCTACACTAAAACACGAGAGTCCTTGAGAACAGGGTGTTTCCACCATTATCATCTTCATCTATTACTACTTCTGATAGGAGGCATTTATAAGATGGATGGACGGATGGATGGACGGGAGACGGGACACCAGTGGGACTTCGAAGCACCCTGGTAAAACACAAATGGGCAGCTGAAATTTTGGAGATAAAAAGGGGAAAGAAAGCAAATGGTTAACCCAAGGAGCAAGCCCCTGTGCTCCCTGAGATAAGGAAGCAGGATGTGTGGCCATTGATCGGACCCCATCAGACTGCTCTGTCTGTGGAGCAGCCAGCTCGGTCATTCATCCACTCACTTTTTTTCCTTCCTTCTGTCCTTCCTTCTTTCCTTTCTTTCATGTACTGAGGATTAAACTCAGAGCCCTCACACTGAGTTACAACCCTGGCCTATTTTTATATTTTTATCTTGAGACAGGGTATTGCTAAGTTGCTAAATTGATAAGTTGCCTGGGCTGAGTTTGAACTTGGGATCCTCCTGCCTCAGTCTCCCAGAATGCTGGGACTACTGGCGTGCACCACCAAGCCTGGCTACGTGTTTCTTTCCTATAATAAAGTTTCATTTTACTTCCGTTTTAGAGCTAGTCTTGTGTATGGCTTCCATCTCACACAAGGCAACTGCCCCCTCTACCCAGTGACAGCTGGATGGGTGGGTGGATGGGTACACAGTCCTGTCCCCATTTGGAAGCTCCTGAGGGTGTCTTCATGGGCTTGGCCTAGCAACATCTCTCCCTGAGTCCGTTGCACAGTTACAGCCTTCCATAACTCTCCCTCTCTCCTTCCCTTCCAGGGCCACCATGGCCAGAGCAAGCTTTCTCACTCTTTCCACTCAAGCATCTGTGTCCACACCTGAGAAGGGACAGAACCTCTCCCAGGACCCAGAGCCATGACCATAAGGTCCCCCACGGCTCAGCATTTCCCCTAAGTCAAACATTTCATCTTAAAGATGAGGAGCAAAATTTTCTTTTGCAAAAGATCCATCTCCCTATTTCCTATTATGTCTTTTATTTTGCTCCTTATATTTTGGGAATCAAGCAATGGAAGGAGGGAGGAGAGGGAAAGGAGATGAAAAAAGAATTTAAGATCCGCTATGTGCATTACCAGCTCCTCACAAGGAATGCAATCATTACGTACTGGAAGCATGCACTAATAAAATTTTTTAAAGTTTTTAAAGATTAGCAAAAGTTTTACTTCATACATTAATATATGTTTACTTTTACAGTGTTTTAACATTCTTACCAAAGGGAAAACCGATGTTCCAAAGTCCCCTGCATCCAACCTGTGGCTTCCAGCCCACTGCATTCCCATGTGAGCCTTCAGCCGCTCCAGTTGCAAAGCCTGCCCCTCCCACACGGTCTCACAAAGATGTGTTATGATTTCTAGTAGAGAGCAGGATGTCACGCTGATGCGTATTTCTGGTTTTCCACAATTCCTCTGGCTGGCGCCTTTGAGGAGCACACATCACCCAGGCCTCAGTCCGTGCGTTTTCCTCCGCCCTGGACCTCCTTCCTACCTGAGAGGATCTCGCTGGCAAGAACTGAAGAGAACAGCCAGGGCCGAGAGGAATCTTCGGCTGCAGAAGAGAATTGAGAAACGCGTTCTAAGGACCAGATCTGTATCTGCTCTTCGTGACCCCAAGCTGAGGCCATTGCTCTCCCTTCTTCCTCCCACAGGAAGGACCAGGCTGTCCATACCCCCAGCCTTGCGAAGCTGCCAGAGCCCTGCTGTGAGACTCGGCAGAAGGAAAGATGTCGGGGAGCCCCTCCAACTAAGATTACATGTGAGGAGTACTCAATCTGCCAGGACCCGTTTCGTCGAAGACCTCACTAAAGGCAGAATCTGAGAATGTCTGCTTTCAACCAGGATGGAGAACAAGGACTTAAAGTACTTACCCTCGTTCATAAAACAGAATTGAAAAAATGAAGACAGGAAATATGTGAAACTATAATTTTTAAGGCAGTGGACATCTGGCAACAAAGAAAATGATCCATAGCCTGGTGCTGTGGTGCACCCTATAATCCCAGCACCCTGGGTGGCTGAGGCAGGAGGACTGCAAGTTGGAGCCCAGCCTGGGCAACTTAGCAACTTACCGGGACCCTGTCTTCAAATAAAAAATACTAAAAAGGCTGGGGGTGTAGCCCAGTGCAAAAGTGCTGGGCTCAATCCTCAGTAGTGCAAAAGAGAAGGAGGAAGAGGAAAAGAAGGAAGGGAGGAAGGGAGGAAGGGAGGAGGGGAGGAGGGGAGGGAGGGAGGAAAAGAAATGAGAAGGAAAAATGATCCCTTAGAGACAACTTTTTTTAATGAAGCTAGGGACACTTAAAGGATTCTCGGAGTTAAAGACAGGAAGCTAAAACACCAGGAAGACAGAAAAAGATACAGAGCTGCCAGAGATCTGCAAAGGGTTTTTCTTGAGCATTCTTGGAGCCATGATCAGAGGGTGTGTGGAAGAATTCGCTGTAAGGGTGAAAGGAAAGCATGCCTAAAACGTCACAGGCATCGGAAGAGTACCTTTTCCTGCCTGCCAGATGAGAAAGCATTACAGTCCACGGGATTTGGGGTAAAGGCACAAAAGTGTCTTGCTTACATCAATAATGATAAATAATTAACCCTAAATTAAAGACAGTTCTGGCTCCATCTAACAAATCTTAAAAACAAGCCCTGAAAGGATCAAACTGTACCAAGGAATTAACTGCATCCCAGAACAAAGCTCAGGAATAAAAATATCCAGAGCTCATCAGAGTAAAATTTATAATATCTGGTATCCTACCAAAAATTACTGGACATACAAAGAACAGAAAACCAGAATCCATTAAAAGGGGAAAAAGCATCAATTAAAGTCAACCCAGAGTAGATCCAGATGTTAGAATTAGAAGAAAAGAATATTAAAATAGTTATGATATTCTACATGTTCAGACAGATAGAGGAAGTACTGAACATGTTAAATAGAAATGTGGGAGATATGTTTAAAAGGCCTAAATTGAATTTCCTGAAATGAGACAATATTTGGAATTAAAAATACACTGGATGAAATTACAAATTAGATTAGATGCTACATTTAAAAAAAGATTAGTGAACTCAAAGACACAGCAGCCAAAGTAAAACACAGGGAGAAGATACACTCAAAAATAAGTTAACACTGGGGCCGGGGATTTAGCTCAGTGATTCCGGCACCTGCATTGCAAGCTCAAGGTCCTGAGTTCAATCTCTGGTACCAAAATAATAATAATAATAAATTAACATCATTGAACTGTGGGAAAACATCAGGCAACCCAATATGCATGTAATCAGAATCTCAAAAGAGATAGGGAAGAGAGAAGAACAGAAAAAATACATATTCAAAGTGAGAAAGTATCAAAATTTGATAAAAATTATAAACAGAACCAAAAAGTTCAATAAACCCTGAAACATGACAAAACTGTACTGAGGCATACAATAAGTAAATTTCTGAAAATCAGTATGAAAGAGAAAAATCCTAAACCCAGAGGGAAAAGGACGTTTCACATTCAGAAGAAAGACAGACAGTTTGACAGATTTTTGTTGGAAACAATAAGACAACAATGAAGAAACATCTTTGCAGTACCGAAGAAAAGAAATTGTCCATACTCTGTGAAAATATCTGTCAAAAATAAAAGTGAGGAGTTGGGCTTTGAGAAATAAAGTTGAAATAATTTGTCCTCAGGAGGGCCACACTGCAAGAAAGAAATCAAGAAAACTCCTCAGGAAGGTAAAGCAAGGAAGGAAAAGGATGTCCAATGGGAATGGCAACGACAAAACACAAAGCTGATCGCGGCTCTAAATGTAAAACCTAAAAGTATTTTCTAGAAATAAACTAGGAGAAAATCTTTGTAGCCTTGTGTTAGGTGAAGATTTCTTTTTTTTTCTTTCTTTTTTTTTTTTTTTTTGGAGACAGAATCTTGATAGGCAGTTCAGGCTGGCCTCGAACTCACTATGTAGCCCAGGCCGTCCTCAAACTCATAGCAGTTCTCCTGCCTCAGCCTCCTGAGTGTTGGGATTATAGCCCTGCGCCACCATGCCTGGCAGGTGAGGATTTCTTAACTGTAATACTCAATGTACAATTTATAATGAGAATATTAGTAAATTTGACTTCATTAAAAATAAAAACTTCTGCTTTTTGAAAGATTTTTTTTTTTTTTTGAGACAAGTCCCCACTATGTAACCCAGGCTGGCTTTGAATTCGTGATCCTTTAAGGCTCAGCCTTCCAAGTGCTTGGATTACAGGCAGCCGCCACCACACCCAGCTTTGAAAGATACTCAAAAATGAAAAGATAAGCCACAAATTGAGAGAGAATATTTAGAAATTATATACCCAATAAAAGACTTCTATCCCAAAATATATAATGCGCACTCAAAATTCAATAATAGGAATGCAAACCACCAGCAAGAGATATGTCTCAGAGGTAGAGCACTTGCCCAGTACACACAAGGTCCTGGATTCAAATCTCAGCACTGCAGGAGAAAACACACAAATCACTACAGTAAAAACAGGCCGAAGATCTGAACACACATATCACCCAAGATCCACAGACAGCAAGTAAACACTTGCTCAAAAACATGTTCAACAGAATCAGTCATTAGGGAAATGCAAATTCAAACCACAATAAGATATAATTATACACCTATTAGATGGCTAAAATTAAAAAGACTACACATACTGAGACTGATGGAGTATAAAGAAACTGGAATTCACCTACACTGATAGACCAATGTAAAATGGAATGCTACATTAGAAAACACTACGAACATTTCTCAAAATGTTAAATGTACTCCTACCATTGACCCAGCAATTTCAACTCTAAGCACGTAGTCAAGAGAGACAAAAGTGCAGGTCCACACACAGGACTGCACATGAGTGTTCAGGCAGCTTTACTCATGACATCACAAAGAAGCAGCAACCCACACAGTCATCAGCTGGTGAATGGATAAATCAACAGGGTTATATCCAAGCAATGGAATATTACACAGCAATACAAAGGAAGGGGGTGCTGTCACACATGATGCTGCTGGTGAATCTGAAAAAGAAAACAACTAATGCTGACTGAAAGCAGCCAAACAAACACACACGTACAAACTATATTATAAAGATGCTTTAAGGTGCAAACTATATTAACAAAGTTGACCAGTAGCTTGGGAATTGAAGCATGGGGTGGAAGAAATTACAAAGTGCATTAGGAAATTTTTATGGCTGGATATGTTCATTATCTAGATTTGGGTCATAATTCCAGGCCAAATGCATAAGTCAGAACTTATGAACCAGTGCACTTTAAAATATGTCTCGTATTGTATATCATTTATACCCCAATGAAACTGTTAAAAATTAACAAGAGAAAAGGAACAAATTACTTCTTGGTCAAACCACTAAAAGTAAGAAAAGGGATAAAATTAAAATAAACAATAAACACACATAGCAGTGAAAATTATCAATTACCATTAAATATAAATAAACTGAATTGATCCATTAAAAGATAGAGAACATCAAGTTGGCTTAAAACAAATCCAGTTAGGTAATATGTACTAGTATTTAAAAAAAACAGAGGTAAAACAAATGATAAAATTGAAAATAAAGGAGTAAGCAGAGATGCCAGGCAAACGCAAATAAAGGGACAGTAGAAGGGCATGCTAATTGGAACAGAAAAGGAAATCCACCATGTATAAACTTTCCTGGCCCAGAAAATTAAAATTTAATAAATGAATCATTTGCCGTGGATAGGAGCTAACACTTGGGGTACTTAGTAACATGACTTTATAAAAAACGATGGTCCATGAGGGGCCTACGCTGACTTTTAAATTGTTAGTCAATTAAATTGTTGGTGGTTCTTCAGACCACTGCTTGCATGGAGGGCACAGTTCAACAGTGCATCCTGGTGATTTTCATCTATAATTCCCGAGGCTAATTGTTGCCTCTAAATTACTGTGTAAATTACTGACTTTGGGGTAAACCGTGATTTGTAATATATGCCATTGGTTATATTAGCATATTCTTATCTGGAAAAAGATGGAAGGGTACTCGTTTACTGTCGTTATTTTGCTGATCACTGGTGACCAACAGATAGGACAAACCTTGGACAAGAAGCATACCTTGTGATTCCCTTCTCTAGAGGAAGCAGGACGCTGGACCCTTCTGGTTATTATCGTGGGCTCGGTGTGTTGTTGGTGCCGGGTGCTCTCTTACGTGGCCCAGAGTTCTGGTCAGAGCTGCGAAGAGGGAGCCAGGACAGTCTGACCTGTGGCTGTCATGAGGGCCCCTCAACCAAGTCTTTAACTAGTCCTGCAACCGGGATGATGAGAACGCGGCTCTCAAACGCAGCTTGCAGTCTGCAGAGGGCTCGCAGGTCTGGGTGGCTGAGAACGTGAGTCCTGACCAGTTCCCAGGAGCGGCTGCTGGGAGCAGCGACCCGGTCGCACTTCGCCGGCCGGCCGTTCCTTCTGTCCTCCTCGAGTCTCCTTCCTTCACCTTTCGGCCCTCTTCGGGCTGCATGTGCCCAGCAGTGGGCGCCATGGTGCCTTCCCCACCTCTCCTTCCCCAGCTGCGGGCCGACCCTCCGCGGGTCTCCCCGGGAATCGCCTCTGGCTGGGAGCTGCAGGCCCAGCCCTGACCGCCAGCTCGGAAGGCTGGAAACACCCAGCCGGGCCTGGGAGCTGGGCCGCTGTCCTCGGGCCGGGGCGCCCCAGTGTAGACGCCCATAAGCCTCCAGCTCACGGCTCCATTCAAGCCCTGCGCACAGACGGGCAGGGACCTCCGCGGTGACGGGGACGATGCACGGCCCGGAGGCTTCACTACCAAGAAGCAGCAGGGTCAGGCGCTCGGCTCAGCGGGCGCTTTTCTCACAATTCACCCACGAACACTTGCTTGATCTACTGCACTGGGCTCTGGGGTAAACTCTGAGATCCAAAGCAGACTAAAACAGAGCCCTTTCTATGCAGTCCTTCAAGGTCTGGTGCAGGAGCCGGAGGGGAACAGGGCAGCCCCGGGAGAGCCCGCAGGGCCCAGAGAACAGCTGGGCCAGGACCCAGGGCCCCGTGCTGCGCCTCTCAGCCAAAGGGAAGCTTTCCGAGGCTCGGTGTCCTCGTCTGTAAAGGGGGGAGCAGTGCCTACCTCTTGCAGGGTCGGTGCAAGGTCTACGCCAGTTAAGGTGTGAAAAGTGGTCAGCGTCCTGATTGTTATCATCGACGATGAGTGACAGAGGTGGAGGACCTGAGGACCACAGGGGTGGCCGGAGACCCAGACAGAGAACTAACCCCAAGGCACCTGGGCAGGAGGGACGGGCCGGACATCAGCAGTGCTGGGGGTTCCTCCTACCCTGGACCCCTAGGATGTACGGGCCACAGGTCCTGCCTCAGCCGCAGTCACAGGTGAGGACATCGAGGACAACAGCTGGGATGGCTCCCGCGGCGGGCAGCCCTGCGCCCACCTCAGCCCCGGGCCCCAGGGGCCAATGCCTGGGGAACACTGCCTGTCCGTGTGTCCGGGACACACACACGGAGCTCCCCGGAGTCAGGGCGAGGCTGGCGGCTCCGCTGCGCAGGGCCTCGGCCAGCAGAGAGGGGCTGGCCGGGTGGCAGCCGCGACTGTGCCAGGGCACAGAGGGGTCCCGGCCCTCACCCTCAGCCTCGCCCTACGGGGAGAGCAGAGTGGCAGGGCAAGCGCGGTGCCCCAGGGCCAGCTCCTGGTGTCTCGCTCTGGGCCGATTCGCGCCTCCCTGCTTCCCCTCAGCTCCAACTAAGAAAAAGGGACGGGAGAAGGACCAAGACCTTGGAGCAACCTGGATGCTGATTTCACCCCAGCACCTCGTGTGCATCTGGCCAGCCGCCCTCGGTGACTCCCAGCCCCCCACCCTCGCTCCCGGCCTGGAAATACCCGAGCATCTGCCGAAGCAGCTGCAGGTTAAATTTAGCCCTGCAAAGCAGGACACCACAGCAGAGGGAGGGGCCGGTGCAGCCCCGCAGGTGTCAGGGCCACAGGCTACCTCCAGGGAAGAGGCGACACCTGGGAGGGAAGCAACGCCAGGGAGAGGGCGCCGTGGGGCCCAAAGCCGTCCTCATCGAACACTAGGCAGCAGCACGGAGGGGCAGAGCAGGCAGATGTAAAGCCCGGGCCCAGCAGGGCCTGCGCCTCACTGCAGCGCTAATGTCCCACCGGAAAGCACTGAAAAGCAGATTTTATGTTTTGTGGGTTTTTAATTTTTTTTTTTTTTCTGTTTTTTGAGACAGGGTCTCATTCTGTAGTTCAGGCTGGCCTTAAACTCACGGCAATCCTCCTGGCTCAGCCCCCCCGAGGGCTGGGATTACAGGGGTGTGCCACCATACGTGCTGTTGAAATGTAGATTGATTTTTTTTATTTATTTATTTATTTATTTATTTATTTAGGTACCGGGGATCAAAGGCAGGCGGCAGAACCACTGAGCTAAATCCCCGGCCCTGCATATTTTAAAATAACGTTACCCAAATAAAATCCTGTGTTTGGTCCACACACTGGGGTGACCGGGTGGCCTGGTTTGTGCCACAGGTAGTGTCACCACCAGCCAATCGTTCTTTCCTCAGTGCCCTGTGACTGCAAAGGACCAAGGGCTTTGAGCATTCTTAGCTAATTCGGTCTTACCGAGCCTTTTAAGGAAAGGAGAAAGGAGGGAGAGAGACTCAGCATGTAGGAATAAATTAACAGGCAAGTTAGCACTAATCCCTGTGTTCATGACCAACTCCTACACCCGTCCGTGTCAGCTTTCCGTGGCTGCGGCAACATCCTGAGAGGAACGACTCAGAGGAGGGAAGGCTCTCGGTGGCTCACGGCTCACGGCTTCACAGGTACAGTCCCTGGGTGCTCAGCTGTGTTGTTCCTGCGCCTGTGGGCGGGCCGCTATCACAGAGGCAAGCTTCTCACCTCATAGTGGCCAGGAAGCACAGAGATGCAGGGGGAGGGTCCAGGGACAAGAATACCCCCTCGAGGTCACCCACTGCCACCAGCCAGGCCCCTCCTCCCTGCGATATAATCCCCTTCCAAAAGCCTCCCTCTGGCTCAAGCCTCGGGGGAGGTTTTTGATCCAAACCCTAACACTGCATAAAGTAGCAGTTGTTGACTGTAGAGAACACTTTGCTTGGGGTCAGACAGGTTTGGGTCTAAATCCCGGTTCTCCCATGGCGGGGAAATCCCCTGAGCTGAGGCTTCCTCTTTGGTAAGGTGGAATTGCAGACCTGTCTTGGATTGCCCTGGGAGAGCCCCGCGGCCTGGACCCCGCCTCTTGCAGTCTGGGGCGACCGACCCCCGCGGGGTCACACTGCCGCCCTGTGGCCATTTATCGCACTGCAGGCGCGCTTCCTGGGCGCTGAGGTCCCGGGTGAAGGAAGCCTCAGGCCCCGGGCAGTCTTACTCTCAGCCCCTGTTCTGGACACATCACTCCAGCCCCTTGCTGGGCCGCCCCGTCACCTGTTGGGTCTGGCTTGGCTCTAAGTTAGCTCGGAGAAAAAGCAGTGGGCGCTGTGCTCACCGTGCGCGTGGAGCTGGAGAAATCGGGGGCGGGGCGGGGCAGAGCAGAAACAGAAAAGATCCTGGGGTAGACAGGGAGAGGGACAGGCAGACAGGCACAGGCGCAAGTACAGACAGAAGAAGAGAAAGACAGCAAAGCAAAGAAGAGTGGACGGAGCGAGACGGAGAAAATGAGAGCAGGGCACACGCTCACAGTCCGGACAGCACCCTGCAGGGCGGGGGGACCTGAACCAAACCAGTGGACAACGATGAACAACTGCAAAAGTCTTCAATATTGACAAGGAGGCAAACAACACAATAGAGAATGAGCAAAGATGTGAGGAGAAGATCCAAGCAGCTAACTCAGGAATGGGTGCCCAAGTTCACCGGCAGCTTGGGAAGTGAGAGTCTTACTTTATTCCTATTAAGTTGCTGGCTGAAGTCAGCAAGCCACTCACTGCTGGGTGGGCTGCAGGGCGAAGGTTCCTTTGAATCTTGTTGATGGAAGCGTGAACTGCCATGGACGTTTGAAAAGCTATCCCCATCTAACAAAACTTGCCATTCACCAGCCAGTCTTCCCGTTCCATTCCTGGGACTCAGTGCCCTGGAGAGATAAGCAGCAGCGCGCACGGATACATGTGCAGATAGTTACGGTATTGTTCACAGTGACAGAGGCACTGGTACGGAGGGAAAAGCCAGCGACAGGGTGCTGTTAAATAAATGTCAACGCACGTAGCCCATCCACATGGCTTGATACAGCAATTGCAAAAAATTCGTAAGAGCCATATCACAGTTGGAATTTAAGGGATGAAGTATTTCTGGGTAAAATACAAGAAGAATAATTCATCAGTGCAAAAATACAATAATAACGCAACAATGATCATAATATTGTTGCTCCTTAGCCCGTGTTGGCAGTACATGTTTGCATTCATTGTGTGGAGTTGGGGCATCTACCTAACACATCTTAACTCCTTTTTCATTCCCTGCCCCTCCCCGACCTCCCCCTTCCTCCATGTCTTGATCTCCTTCCCATATGAGAATGATCTATCTCCCTATGTCCTATTATATGTCTTTTATTTTGCTCCTTTTTTATATTTTTGGGTTTCTCGTGTAAAAGAAACCAGGTGCTATTTAAACTTGTGAGTCTGACTTATTTCACTTAACATTACGGTCTCAAGGTGCATCCCTTTTCTTACAAATGGCTGAAGTTTTTCTTTATGGCAGAGTAGTACTCCACTGTATGCAAATACCATATTTTCTTCATCTATTCATCTGTCAATGGGCATATAGCCTGCCATGGTGAATTATGCTGCTATAAACATAGGTGTGCATGTATCTCTGTAGTATGTCTTTAACTCTTTCAGGAAGATACCTAGGAGGGAAATAGCTAGGTCAAATGGAATTTCATATTGTTACATTTTGAAAAAATTGTGTGTGTGTGTGTGTGTGTGTGTGTGCGTGTACAGGGTTGACCTTCATCCTGTCTACAATGATAAGGTCATACTGGATGTTTCAGTAGTGTTCATCATAATTGGTTATCACTGTGTATCCCAGCTGCTATGTATGTATTTTGAATGCCACTTCTGCAAGTGTGTGCATGTACTGTATGTGATATATAGAAAAATGGAGAAAAATAGAGACAGGTACATAGTAGGTCATTCTCATGGAAAACATGAGAAGGAAAGGGAGGTTCTTTGAATAGGAGGGTTGAGAAAAGAGGATGTAATCAATCCAATAAGGGAAAGAAAATCAAAGGCCACATAAAACTGTATAATTATAGATATGTTCTCCACTTCTGTAAAGTCATATATGTTTTCATATACGCAGCATTTAAAAGTCAGTAAGTGAAATAAATAGGACACGCAGGTTTGATTGCCTTGTTGTTTCTCTGGTGTGAGAAACCGAAAGTGGAAATAAGGACTAAAATTGGGGAGATTGGGTCAGTAGTGTCGAAAAGCTATTGGTTTCTTCGTGGTCTGGGCAAGAAGGAGAGGTCATCCCTATGTCTGGGGTTGAATGAATGCTTGAGACTTTGCCTAATGGGAAAGGCATCTTTGGAAAGGTATTTCCCAAGTCTCTGGCAAGAATCCACATAGATGACTAGACGGGGCCTGTGTTAAAGTATGGCGCCTTTGAAATACTAGTGGTCCCAGTGTCTGGTTATCTACCCAAAGGCCTACATTTTAGCTTTTTTAACATCCACTTAGTATGGCAGTCTGAACCCTTTTCCCCAACTGAACTCTGACTTTCATGCTCTGAGAAAATACCCCACAGGACTCTTCCTTCTAATATATGTAAATTTCTGCAGTGCCTATCTTACGTAAAGTACAGTAAAACTTTATTGTACATAGTTTCTATTAAATGTAAAGAAAACATAAAAAAAAGAAGATGAGAAACAGGAAGTAGGGAGAAGTTCTAATAATTCCCCAACTTGTATATTCCATGGTTTCAAAAATATTTCAATATATATATACTAATTCATTTCATTTATACTGCTAGGTCCTCTTAGTTCATTGAAAAGAAAGTTTTGTACTCTTATCTATTTGTTTCTTTTTTGTAAGATTGTTTTTTGCCTATGACTTGTACTCTAACATTTTGGCCATTCTGTTAAGATTATGATACACAGTGTATTAACCAATGTTATTCTTTAATTAATTTGTTATGAAATTTTGCTTTATTTTTTCATAGAAGAAGGTTGCTTTGAAAAAATATTGTCTTTATTAATATCTACTTGTATTACAATAAAATAAAAGACTAATAATTATAGATACACTCTCCACTTCTGTAAAGTAATATGTTTTATACACAGTATTTAAAAGTCAGTACATCTCTAACTTATGAACATTTAAGTTGTGAACTTTCACAGGTGTACTACATAGGATTCACTTTGCCAGATTA